TTCAGAATTGCTGAATGAATAAAGAGGTCACCCTAACATCAGCAACTGCTTTTAAAGTTGCACTTGAATAATTAATCTAGCCATCATCAAAAGTTGTTCAATCAAACATCTGCCACTAGGGCACCAACCATTAATAATTGTGGTGGGGTTACTCCTATTTTTTCAGAACCCTGCAGTCATACAATTTAATTTTTCTGTGAAGCTGTGGAAATGCAGGTCACTTCACCTTCAAAACCTTCCACACAAACACATGCACTGTAGAGCACACTCCATGACCCAGAGCTATAGGAGCTGTTTTCATTTTTCTCACTATCACATGAAACTATTCTGCCTTAGAATGAAGGAAACAATCTCTACATACATTCTCCGTGCAGAGAAACCTCTGGGTAAAATTTAAGGCTCTTTTTATGATATATATGCCTCACATAGGAACTTTCAGACAAGATTATGTAAAAGCATCAGAATGTCATCTAAGAGTCCTGAAGCCCAAGCAAAATTTTAGTGACATCTAGTGGTCACTACTGTCTCACTAAAATATAGTTTCCCCCAAAATACCTAACACTATTATTCAGAAATCCTGCCATCACCAAAGAAATGTATTCATATAATGGGGGAGTCATTGCCTTGTAATAGGCAAGAAAGAATAATGGGATATATTCAGAGTTTTTCTTATGATGAGCAACAATAAATCACTTCTTAGCTCAGGTCACATTTGGGAAGAAAAATGTCTTGCCATCATTAACTTTTGTTCAATTGGCAATTATATATAGTCAGGTTTTAAGTAATGGAACCAGTAGCATTTAATTAGCTCTGAAAACCTATATGAGATCATGAATCACAGACTTTCTACCTTTATGAAGCTCTCCCTTACTAGGTTAAAAGTGTATTTCTCGTTCCATGTGTGATCCATCTAGACTATCTAATGAGGTGCTTTTGATATATGGACTATAATCAATATATCACACACAAACTACAGCAGATGTACAGCCTCTTACTTTATATAATTGAGTTGTGTCTTGCCTCACTGAGCTATTCCAAAAAGAAAAAAAAGGAATTGTGTATCTATGATAGAACTGCCACTACTTGTTTCAATTTAGCAAATGCCTCCTTTCTTGAGAAGAGCCAGCATCATGGAGAAACATGGATAACTAGCCAGGGGAAAAAAATAACAGAGAGCATATTTCTTGCTGAAGGTTGGGATACAGAAAGATGCTATAATTTTAGATCTGCCATGCTGACAACAAATTTCAACATGCCCAGAGCACCAATTGACCAAAGGCCAGTATTGTCTCTGTGCAACAATGCTTCAAACTGCTTCATTACTTTCTAAATAGAAAAGGCATTTCAACTCAACTAATATTTTGCAGCATGCGCTTAAGGCCTAGATTTTCAAAGTTAATTAAGTGTTATTGTGCTGAGCATGGCAATGCTAATCAATTTAGGATCCCAAGTTTCAGTCTCAAAAAGGGATCTAGGTATTTATCTCACTGGCTGTCAATCTCCAAAGCCCTTTTGAAAATTAGGTTTAGGCTCCTAAAACAGTTGGGTATTGTAATACTGAGTGCATTAATGTCTAAATACATTAAGAACCTGGGTCTAACTCTAAATACTATTAAACAATGCACTACACATCTCATAGTGTTTACATTATACTAGTAGATTTATCCAGCATTGCTCAGGTCTGCAACTCGATTTCTTTTTTTGGAAAACAAAAAGAAAATGTACATGCTTTATTGAAATTATTATTTTTAAATTAAATTAGGTAAGCTTTTTAAAAACGGGAATTCCATGAAGTGTATTTTTTTCTTTCATCCCTATAAACTTTTATCATTCACTATGTTTTAACAAAAATGGGCTACAGTCAATTTGGTTTCCAATAACACTGTCTTCTAATTTTCAGATCTTAAGCATAGATGTTGCTGTGTCAAAACAGAACACTACTCCAAATTTCTCTCTTTTGTAAGGTTTGGTGAGAAGCAATCCTAATCCAGGTTCATCCAATTTTTTCTGGCTCATCTTAGAATCATAGAATCATAGGACTGGAAGGGACCTCGAGAGGTCATCGAGTCCAGCCCCCTGCCCTCAAGGCAGGACCAAGTTCCGTCTACACCATCCCTGACAGATATCTATCTAACCTGTTCTTAAATATCTCCAGAGAGGGAGATTCCACCACCTCCCTTGGCAATTTATTCCAATATTTGACCACCCTGACAGTTAGGAATTTTTTCCTAATGTCCAATCTAAACCTCCCCTGCTGCACTTTAAGCCCATTACTCCTTGTCCTGTCCTCAGAAACCAAGAGGAACAAATTTTCTCCTTCCTCCTTGTGACACCCTTTTAGATATTTGAAAACCGCTATCACGTCCCCCCTTAATCTTCTTTTTTCCAAACTAAACAAGCCCAGTTCATGAAGCCTGGCTTCATAGGTCATGTTCTCTAGACCTTTAATCATTGTTGTCGCTCTTCTCTGTACCCTTTCCACTTTCCCCACATCTTTCTTGAAATGTGGCGCCCAGAACTGGACACAGTACTCCAGCTGAGGCCTAACTAGTGCAGAGTAGAACGGCAGAATGACTTCACGAGTTTTGCTTTCAACACACCTGTTGATACAACCTAGAATCATGTTTGCTTTTTTTGCAACAGCATCACACTGTTGACTCATATTCAACTTGTGGTCCACTATGACCCCTAGATCCCTTTCCACCATGCTCCTTCCTAGACAGTCGCTTCCCATCTTGTATATATGGAACTGATTGTTCCTTCCTAAGTGGAGCACTTTGCATTTCTCTTTATTAAACTTCATCCTGTTTACCTCTGACCATTTCTCTAACTTGCTAAGGTCATTTTGAATTATGTCCCTATCCTCCAAAGAAGTCGCAACCCCACCCAGTTTGGTATCATCTGCAAACTTAATAAGCGTACTCTCTATCCCAATATCTACATCATTGATGAAGATATTGAACAGTCCAGGTCCCAAAACAGACCCTTGCGAAACTCCACTTGTTATCCCTTTCCAGCAGGATTTAGCACCGTTAACAACAGCTCTCTGACTACGGTTATCCAGCCGATTATGCACTCCCCTTATCGTTGCCCTATCTAAGTTATATTTGCCTTGTTTATCAATAAGAACATCATATGAGACCGTATCAAATGCCTTACTAAAGTCTAGGTATATGACATCCACTGCTTCTCCCTCATCCACAAGGCTTGTTATCCTATCAAAGAAAGCTATCAGATTAGTTTGGCATGACTTGTTCTTCACAAACCCATGCTGGCTATTCCCTATCACTTTATTACCTTCCAAGTGTTTGCATATGATTTCCTTAATTACCTGCTCCATTACCTTCCCAAGGACAGATGTTAAACTGACCGGTCTATAGTTTCCTGGGTTGTTCTTATTCCCCTTTTTATAGATGGGCACAATATTTGCCCTTTTCCAGTCTTCTGGTATCTCCCCTGTCTTCCATGATTTTTCAAAGATCATAGCTAAAGGCTCAGATACCTCCTCTATCAGCTCCTTGAGTATCAGGACCATCTTGGTTCAGTATCTTTCAAGATTTGCTCAGTTATGTCAATTTTGAGGACTGTCCTTGTGTTAGTGATTCCCTCTCTTTTCTGACTGGTTTTATGAGAAGCAATCCTATGCCAGCACATCCCATTTTCCTGGCACAAACAATCCCTGACTTTGCTATAAGTTTTGATAAGAAGAAGCTGTACATCGAATTTGGTGGTTCTAGCTCTTACTGTTTAGGAGGAGTTCTTGATCAAACAAACAGATAAACTCTCTAACATATATAGTAGATTACCAAAACTATAATAATCAGACACAAAAGTCATTTTAAAAGGTTTTATTCAGCTTTAAGATGTGCTTCTGAAGAAGTCACTATGCTGCTTCACAGATCTTGTTTATAAGATCACAAAATTTTTGCCGGAGAAGAAAACCTCAGCCAGAGGAACATCATTTTTTTTTTTGGAGGAAATAGGACGAGCAGATCATGATTCATAAGCGTCAAAGTATAAACATTACCCAATATAAATATTTAGCTTTTTCTAGGGTGAAAGAAAACTTCTATTACAAAAGCCTCTCTTTAAATAGATTAATAAAAATAAAATTCAACTAAATGGATTTAATCTCTGTTCCTTTTCCAGAATATTTTTAGAATTGCTAAAGAAACATGAAAGTTACTGCAAACTATTTCTTTCAATTTAAAAAGTGTAAGGCATTTCAAATTGCACAGTAAAAAAAATTAAAAAGGGCACTGAAAGCAGAACTGTTTTATAAGATTAGCCATAGCTCATCCTTAGTTCAAATACTAGCATTCAATTACCATCATAAAATGCAAAGATTGTTGCTCTCAAATACAGGGGATAGTATTTTACTTATGCACAACATTTAAACAGCTGATTGACTTAGAGCCACACACACAATACTTGTTCAGAGAGGAAAGGATGTATGACATCCATTATATACCCATTCACTTTTTACAGACATATCTTACTTTATTTGGTGGAAAATAAACTATCCAGTTCGTGTTATTCTACCCTGTAGATGACATTTCTTTTAGCTCCAATTCTGCAGTTCACATCAATCCTGGGGTTTTAAGAACATTTTCTTAGCTTTGCTAGGTTTCAAAGTATTGTTCTCATCTTCATCCTGTAGTACCCGCTGATCTCTCTTTTTCAAGAATTTCTTCCCTATAGTTCCCACCAAGGTTTCGTATCTGTTAAGATATTAACATTGAAGTACCAATCACTGTTCTTCATAAAATCAAAACAAACTCATGCAAAGTCATAGATCCGATCAGAAATACTAATCCATGGCCAACGCCACGCCTTTTGCAGCACAGTGTAAGAGACACAGCTACTGCTATATCAAGAGATCACCATAATATTAAAGGGCCAATTTTGCCTTCTGTCAGACAGAATGGTACAGAGAGCACCAAGGTGTAGCGGAGGGCAGAAAATATCCCCAGGAAGTAATGAAGCTATTCCACTGAACACATTCTTCAAAATTCTTATTTAACAAATCCTGTGCACAACACAGAAGTTTGCTCTTTTATAAACACTCTGATGAGAGTGCAGCCACACATCATCCTGGTAATTTTAACTATGTCATAAAACATAAATTACCTTCTGGCCATTTCTTCATCTGATACATCAGCCTCAGCTGTATCATCTGCTTCAATTTCTTCTTTCTTGTACCTAGAGTTCATTTGGATCATTAACTTCTGAAAATGAAATGGGAAATCAGTTTAACAGTTAACTCATTCACATAATTTAATTTATATAGATATTACTGATAAGAAACTCATTTGTAAAATAGACTGGAAAGACTCTTTTGCCCAGCATTTTATCTGAAGCTGCTTTCCCTTGGTTGTTGTATAAACCTAGGGCTAACCATGTGCTGTAACTAGATGGGAGCACACAGTTGTGCTTTGCTGGGAGAAGATGAGGGAATGAACTGTGACTGACTACTTCCCCCTTGCTCCATGGGCTGGTAGAGGGGTGATTTGTAAAAGTGCAATACCTGGTGGTGCTTTAGTTCCTTCTCTGTTACCCATCTCCTTGATTCACATAGCGTGTGTAGGGGAGTGACTTAGATTTTCCTACATTTAAAATGGCAAATAATCACACAACCCATTTTTAGTTCCTCCCTTGTTTGCATACCAGCACAGGTGCCTGGCATCTGGGTCTAGGTTTTCCTAGGGCTTGTCTTCAATACACAAAAGATTGTTGCTGCCTCTATCAATCTTCTGGAGTTTGATTTAGTGAGTCTAGTTAAGACTCACTAAATTGAACTCAGAAGGCACCCCTGTCGTTGTCCGGTACTCCTCTTTTTGTGACGAGTAAAGGAAGCTGATAGGAGCATTCGTTCCCATCAGCCTCCTGCCATGGGGACACCATTAAGTTCACCTTACTGTAAGCCAACTCCAGCTACGTATTCTACATGGCTGGAATTGTGTATCTTAGGCTGAGCTCTTGGGTCTAGTGTAGACCTGGCTTTAGTGTTATGATTGACGGGATTTATGTGGCAATTCACTATCACAGGGGTCTGCAACCTTTCCAAAATGATGTACCGCTCTGCCGGGAGGGGGGGGAGGGGATCTCTCCACTGTACACCCCATGGACCACCTGGATCAATGCAAACCTTTCCGATGACTACTAGTTGTTAATGGAAGCTCTCTGTTAATTACATAATTAAGCCTGAGCCGTTTTGCTACTGCTGCAGCTGGAGAGAATGGTTTAATTTAAATTATTAAACAGATTAAGCATTTTAATTTTCTATGTTTGTTTATCAAACTTCATTTAAATAAAGTTAAATATTATGTCCAACACAAAAGATTTCAATGTTTTCTTTATTTACGGCAGGGGCGGGGAACCTATTTTGGGTCAGGAGTCACTGACACACAGAAAAATCAGTTGGGGACCACACAAGTGAGAAGCAAAAAAACTTCTCTAAAAACCCCTAAACCTCACTGATGTGGCTCCCAACTGAGACACTTCACTCTTGGCATTCACCTCATGCCCCAAGTGCAACCCTTTCTCCCTCCCATCCTGCCACTGCAGCCTGATCTCCTGCATTGCCCCATACCTCCTCAGTGCAATCCCTGCCCCCTCCCATACTGCCCCCACATCCTCCTTCATGGCTGGGCATAGAGGGGCGCTGGGAAAGAGGGACCCCCGACCCCACAAACAGCCCGCAGGGAACAACGCATGCACGGGTGCGCCACGTATGCTGGCAGCTCTCCTGCCACCACTCACAGCAGGAAGCCAGAGCTGTTGCTCCAGCCTGAAGCTGTGTGGCTGAGGCTGGAGCCACAGCACGAGCTCCTGACTGTGTGGGGGTAAGGGTGGGGCTGAGCTCCTGTACCGCGTGCCACGGCAAATTGGTTTGCGTGCTGGGAGTAGCCGACCCTTGTACTTTTGATTGTAGATTCTATAAAAATAACAGATACATCTTTTTTAAAAGTTATGTAGCAGATCTTTTTTTCATGGTCAAGTATAATCTAGGCATAAAATCTTCAGATCTTAAGTGTGGGTCAAATTTAGGAACTAAGCCACTTGAAAATGTTCATTTAGCAGGGACAATCTGTCTGAAAAGCTTTATAATAAAATACTTGAATAAAAAAGGCTAGCTAGCTACAGTGAGACAGTAATCATAATTCCCCCTAAATCACATTTCTGGATTCAGCATCAGTAACTTTTCATTTTTGGCAGTTATTTAGCTGCTAGAAACATTAATGGCTGCATTGTTGTTACTATTATAGCACTATGAACATGTGATGTTGAACTGAAGTTAAAGATATCTGAGCTCAAAATACTTTATTTTCAAGGCATGCTTCTGCAAGATCTTATTCATGCAAGTTGTTTCTAGTGAAAGGGGCTGACAGTTTGCAAGCTTGGGTCCTAATTTTAGCAGCAATTTGATGAATCAAGATCAAGACTGGAAGAAAAGTAAGAGAGCAGTGAGACTGGACAGTTATTCTGGCGAGGAGAACATGGAAGTTCTGTTTTTTGAGAGGAAGAAAATATACAGGAATCATGGAGCTATTGACATATGGGATAAAAAAAAACCCGAATATTTACCACAAATAGCACTTTTATCAAGTGGGAATTCATTTTATTGAAATGCCTGTGGAAAGCACTGCATTGTCAGAGGACGAGCAAACAGCATGAACTCCTCCATATCACTTGTTTGTAATCTGGAGCCATCTCTAAGTGGAGTATGGTAATTCTGCCTCCATGCTGATTTTGCTGAGGTAAACAACATGGATGCCAATGGACATTAGTGTGTGACCTGACATGTCAATCTGGGACAGGGAAATTTCATTTCATAATACTAGCTAGATTTCATCCCTCCTGGTGGATAAAAGTGCCTCAGAAGTGAAAGGCTCCATTTGCTCAAATGGATCAAACACACATACACACAAGTGAATAGACCACTTTTCATCCATAGACTTTAAAAAAAAAATGATCAGGACCTCATTTCACAGCTGGTAAGTCAGGCACAGAGAGGCAATGTTACTTGGACTAATGTCACAGAGCAAATGAGGCAGCATGATCAAGAGTAAATACTCCCCGATAATATCATATTTTCCATACAGAATTGCAAAATAATAATAATAATAATAATAATATAAAAGCCTTCAGTCTGCTTTGCCTGCCTTTTAATTTGCTTTCAAATTCCTGCAGTCAAACATCTCTACTTCCCAAATGCTGAAACAAATGCAGTCACAGAGACGGTGTATCAGCTCATGAATTATTGACTTAGCTTCAACAAACCAGTTAGAAGAGCAACTCATTTTGCTTGTCAGCAATGGGAATGTTAGATTGGAGGCAGAAGGGGAGCTGAGGTGGAAATTACCATTTTCACCCTAACTAATGGAGCTCAAATTAGAAGCATGAAGACTGGACATATTTAGGCAAAAAATCTACTTTGTGCTGCAAATAGGGATGTGAAGGCTTAACCGGTTAGGCTGGAGCAGCTTCTCGCCTGCCGTGGGTAGGGGGCTGCTCCAGCCCTGCAGGGGCCCATCACAGACAGTGGCTGCTCCAGTACAGCCCCTGACTGTGGGGGGCCTGGGACTCCACAGACAGGTGGCCCGGATGCCAGAGCAGCTCAGCAGCCGCTCCAGGGCAGGCCCAGGCACTGCACAGGCAGGGGCTGCTCCCATCAGGGCAGCTCCCTGCCTACAGTGTTTCAGCACAGAGGTGGGCGGGGTGGGGCTGCTCCAGCTGGGTTAGAACAGCCCCTTCTGCTCACTCCCATTAAACCAGTTAGCTAATTAAACAAGATTTTACATCCCTAGCTACAACATATTAAAGCTCAATTAACTTTCAATGAAGTCAAAGGAAAGACACTTCTTGATTTCAATGGAAGTCACATCAAGGCCTAACTCCAATGTATAGTTTTCCTATGTTATTAAATGGGGTGGTATGTTGGCACCACTCCCTGAGGCCAAGTGTACTGCAGTGGGGTCTATTCCTGGGGCCCAGGAGCCTGAAAACCCTTCTTGAACTCCCTCTAGACCATCAGAGGGCTGGTAGGGGAACCCAGACCCACACACTCCACTGAGTTCTAGCTTAAAGCCATCAAGTGAGGCCACCAAAGACAGGGTTATTCAACTGTGACACTGCCCTGGACTTCTTCCTACCTTCCCCTGGGTCTCTGCAGTTCTCCAGTTTATTGGTCAGTCTGTCCCCTCTGGGAAGCTCCATAGTAACTTGCAGGCAGGAGCTTCTTTCTCCAGCCTGCTCTCCCCTCTGGTAGCCACTGCACCCATCTACTTCCCAGCTCTTTTTACTCGCTTAGCTTCTACAAGGCTTCCAAACAGCAGCGGCTGGCAGTGCCTGTATTAAATTTTGGTCGCTGTGCACGTGTGGGGTACATACATCCTGTGACTCTAACAGAAGCAAAATATTTCACAGTACCTCAATTTCTGGATTGAAGCCTTTAAAAGACATTCTGCCATAAAGTAGGTCTTCACAGGGCATAAAGCTTCTCTCTTCAATTATAAAACTCCTGCATAACAAAAAAAACCCACAAGTATTTCCCTGAAGAGTAATGTCTTAACACAGTACCAGTAACCAACTGCAATAAAAAGCAAAACCATAAAAGTTAAGTGTCTTAGGCCAGGTCTATGTCTGAAAAAAGTTGGCTAAAATAAGAATGTTTCTTCCTCACCACAGCACTCTCTTTTACACAGACGCAACACAGTCTGTCTTTTTCTCTCCTAGGTGACATTTTTGTACCGGCAGATTTCTTGTGTAGAGCTGGACTTCGCAGAAATAGGTAGCAAATAAAACTGTTCGTGGTTTGTTCTTCAAAACCTGTTTTCCTTTTGCTTTTAATGAACAGCCCAAGAAACAAAAAGAAGCTAATTCCCAGGAATTATAGGCACACATGTACTATAGAAGTGTTTCACCTTCTCACCTCTATCCCACACATCTAAAATACTAAATATCAGTACCTTATCCAGATGTTAACAAGAATCTCTTTTTAACATGTGTCCCTCTTTTAAGGGACCGTTATCTTTACTGTTTATGGTCCCTCTTCAGAAGGCAGGACATTTGTGCCATTATTAGAAGATGTTTTCCTTATTACTGCATTTCCATTAGTGATTCTGCAACTGGATATGCATGGATTGACCCCTGTGCGTTCATGAAACCTAAATGAAATCGGTAGCACTCCATGCAGAAGTCAAATTCTCCCTCATGGACTCTATTGCAAGATTTTGCCTAATTTAAAATATTTTACCCCCCCCCCCCTTTTTTTAAAAAAAGCAAAACCAGCATGACATCACCTGGTCAGTACAAAGAAAATAATTACCTCAATACCTGGAAAACATACAAATGGAAACAAGAAGGTATGTCAAACTCTGGGTTTATCAATCTTGAGAGTGGTTCCTTAAAATAAAATGCAGCAATAAGTATGCTACAGCTACCAATCTGACTATTTTACTAGTGTTTATTGGTCACTAAGAGTTACTATTATTCTTAAGATATTTCTGGGCCAATAAAGGATTAATACACAGTACATCACTTTGCCTCCCAGATAAACCAGATATATTAATGCAAAAATATGACAAACTTACTCCTTTTCCTTGAGTTCTGGTAAATCCAGATACCAGTGTTCTTCACTGATTATCTTTTTTTCCTCTTCTTCTAATTGCTTTTTGGTTTCTGAATCCAATCCCCTTTGCATGAACTGAATGAAAGAAAGTCACACAAACATTTTTCTACATAAAGTTTCTTTTCCCCCAAATATAAGTTGCAAATATTTAACAGGTTGCCTGACATTTATCAGATGGACTAATTTATGGTAAAAGTTAAGAAGTTTTTCCTGACTCTTACAAGTTGGCTCAAAGAAGGTAGAGCAATTCCAATGTACAGACAGAAACAACTGCAATATTAAAATTCAGTTGCATCACCACTTACATACCTTGGTGACCAGCATTCTAACAATACCTGAGGTAGTTTTGACTTCCTTGGCATATTACCATCTGACAACTCCTAGGGGTTTGGCAAAGGATTGAGTAAAATTTAATGATTTCAAATTTGTTGCTGCATACTTAATGTCAAATAGTTAAACTCCACCACGTAAAGAGGTTGTGAACAAATGGGACCCGACTTATGCCAGGGTAGCATTTGGTTTTTTACCTCATTTCTTTGTGGGCACTCCTCTGTTTTCCAGATTCTCAGATTTTGTTTTAATATAAAGTTCGCTTTTAGCTCACAAGGTCGCAGAGAAAGCCTAGACAAATTGGAGGATTGGGAAAAGAGAAATCTGATAAGGTTCAACAAGGACAAGTGCACAGTCCTACATTTAGGATGGAAAAATCACACACACTGCTATGGGCTGGGAACTGATCAGCTAAAAGGACCTAGGGATTACAGTAGATGAGAAGCGGAGTCAAGTAGCGATGTTAACTATTGGGTATTTGTGTAACCACTAAAATTTCAAGCGATTACATGGTTACACAGTTACACGCTGGGGACAGGGCAGTGGGAGTTGGTGCTTGAAGGGAGCCGGCTGTGGGAAGCAGGGGGTAGAGGCAGGCGGTTGTGCCGAAGCCAGCACACACAGATGGCCAGCTTAAAAGCCAGCTCCCCATGAGTTGGCTCTCGCCTTCCCATCCCCTTGCCTGCCCGTCCCCTATGTGGGAGGCAACAAAAAGGGAGAGGTGGCTGGGCATCTGGCTTTTAAGCTGGCTCCTGTCTGCTCCGCCCCCTGCCACTGACTTTGTGGGAGGCAGCAAGGGGAGGCGGGAAGGCAGCTGCATGGGAGGCGGTACATGTGGGGAGCCAGTTCCCCATATGTATTGGCTTCTGCCTCACCCCCATGCTGCCTCTGATACAGAGGCAGCATCAGAGTGCGGAGACGGAGTGCATGTAATCTATAGGATTAACCGATAAACCCAGGCTTATCGGTTAACCATGTAGTCAACTACACATTGACATCCCTAGAGGCAACAGTGTGCCCTTGTTGCCAAGAAGGATAACAGCGTTAGTAGGAGCATTCCTAGCAGATCAAGGGAAGTTATTATTCCCCTCTGTTTGGTACTGGTGAGACCACATCTGGAGTAGTGCGCACAGTTTTGGTCCTCTCATTACAGAAAGGATGTGGACAAATTGGAGAGAGTCCAACGGAGGGCAATGAAAATGATTAGGGGGCTGGGACACATGACTTATGAGCAGAGGCTGAGGGAACTGAGCTTATTTAGTGTGCAGAAGAATGAGGGGGAATCTGATAGAAGCTTTCAAATGCCTGAAGGGAGGTTCCAAAGAGGATGAAGCCAGGCTATTTTCAGTCATAGCAGGTGACAGAACAAGGAGCAATGGTCTCAAGTTGCAGTTAGAGAGATCTAGGTTGGATATTAAGAAAAACTTTTTCACCAGGAGGGTGGTGAAGCACTGGAATGGAGGTGGTGGAATCTCTGTCTTTAAAGATTTTTAAGGTGAGACTTGACAAAACCCTGGCTAGAATGATTTAGTTGGGTTTGGACCTGCTTTGAGTAGGGTTTGGACTAGATCAGGGCTACTCAACTTTGGAAGCCCTGGGGGCCACAATGATACTCACGGCACATGCTGAGGGCCGCAACTTAAGTGGGGTTGCATATGCAGGCAGTCCCTGACTTACGCAGGATCCGACTTATGTCGGATCCGCACTTATGAATGGGGCTTTTCTCGCCCCGGAGATCACGGGCGGCGGGTCGCCGCCTGTGTCCTCCAGGGCGAGAAAAGCTTCTCCCGGTCTCCCTGGTCTGCTGGGGGGGTCCAGCAAAGCCGCTGGACCCCCCCAGCAGACCAG